TTATACATGGAAGAACCAACAATTGGCCTAGGAGGTTGTTTTTAAAAAATGAAAACTGAGAAAGCAAAAACAATTTAAATATAAGGTGCTTTAAATTGAAATTTATTAATTGACATCCCTGAAAATACCTACATAAATTCATGCTATACATTGTACATTATTTCCACAAATATTTGTCCATTTTCTTTAACAAAAAAAAAAAAAAAAAAAAAAACTCACTCACACACACAAAAGGATGATAATCAAATAGAGTTGTGCGGTTCGAATAGTACCTACTCCGGAGCATTATATCATATTTATCTCTTCGTAATTCATTTATGAAAATAGTATGATATCAATAATAAAAAGCAAGATGGGGGATGGACAGTTTGTTGCACCTCCAGTGATACATATAAAACTTGAGCCTTGAGAGATAGCATTGTTGAGTGACAGAGAGAGCAACTCCATTGCAAGTACAAAGAGCAAGGGAAAAGTAGGATCTCCTTGCCTAATGCCCCTTTTGCCCTTAAAAAACCCAAACAATTCCCTATTAAGGGATATAGAATAAGAAGGGGTAGTAATGCATTAGGCTAGATCCAATGTACAAACATATTTGGAAAACCAAATAAATGTATTGCATCAAGTATAAACTGCCAGTGCAGTGAATCAAATGCTTTTTTGAGAGTACAACTTGGTGGCTAATTGGCTTTGTGATAGCCATTAAGAAGTTCATGTGCTAGAATTATGTTTTATAATTTTTCATTTTTTTAGTTGAATGGGTAAGCTTGTATAAAATATAAAAAATATGTACACAATCCATGAAAATGGACACGGTCCAAGGCAACAACAAGATACAACAAGGCTTCAATAGACCATTACAACAAGCCAACTTAGTAAACTTAAACAAGCAAGCATTTAAACTTAAACAAGAAACCAAGACTGCACATTAGCAAAAGCACAACCCTGTATGTTATCTGTTATTTGTCTATCTTAAAAAGAATATTCTATCAGAGATTAATAATTGAGGGAAGAACAATGCTAAGCTTAGCTGCAATAAGTTTAGATATACAGTTATAGATCAAGTTACAACAAGAAATAGGTCGAAAGTCATATACATTTGTTGGGTTAGGTACCGTACTATAGGCACTAATGCAAGTAAGAACAATATATTTCAAAAAGTAATCTCCCACATATGAAAATATCCTTGATTGCATCAAGGATACCTTGTCCATTGATATGCCAAGCATGGGTGAAAAAACATGAATTAAAGCCATTATGTCTAGGGCTTTTATAAGGATGAAAAGAGAGAATGCAATTATGAATTTCCAAGTCTATAGGTATGTTAGTGAGTGGAGGTAAAGGGTATGAACAAACTTGGAAGTTTAAGAAAAAAAGGCATACTTGTGTAATTTCTGTAGGTTTGTCCAAGAGGTTCTGGAAGTGGCAGAAAAACTCATTCTTAAGGTCTTGATCCTGAATAACATTCCCATTAGAATCTTCGATCAATTGAAACAATATCTCTGTTATTGGCCATGGATTAGAATGATTTTATGATGTATGTAGTGTTCCGAACCCCCACGTCCTAAGACAATGTATTTGTGTTTTTTGTTTAAAGAACATCTCCTCAATTAGCTAAGCAAAGTTCATACAACTTATAGTAGCCCGCCAAGTCCTTTTTATTGAGTCTAAGTTGATCATCAGTTGGATTTAGATCATGACTAGATTGGCATTTTGACAGTTCCTCTCTGTAGGAAGCTGTCCATAATCATTTTTGTTAAGCAACTTTAGATGTTGTTTTAAAGCACTCACCTTTTGAACCACAAAAAACATTTTGATCCCATGAACTTCCTTTTGCCAACCTAGATAAACAATATCAATGAATTTATCATCAAGTGCCTAAAAATTAAAGAATTTGAAGGGCATGTTCTTTTTAGGAGAATTGATACCAAATTTGACTACCATTGGAGAGTGATTAGAAATTCAATGAGGCAAAAATTCCCAAGCACCTTGAGGGAACATTGCATCCAATTAATCCTGGTTAACCAATACCCTATCTAGTTTCCTTGATATGTTATAGCACACCCAATAGGCCAAAGCTATTATTGTTCGAGTGAACTAGATGCCTGAAAATCTTAGGTCTTCTAATTCATTCTTATGTAAGCAGTTCATGAAGTCCTCCATTCCTTGAGTCCATCTCAAAACACCACCAAAAGCTTCATTCACATGTAATAGGACATTAAAATCACCCATAAGAATCCGTGGATGGAACCCAGGCTCACTATGAACATTAATACTTTTGGAATTGTTCTTACTTGTTAAACTACTTGCATGTTCGATTTGCATTAAACCATGTAAAATGTACATTATATATATACGCGCATATATATACATATATATATATATATATATATACACACACACACACACATATAAATATTTATGTTTATAAGTTTGGTAAATGTACTCATAATTGATCTTCGAGTAAAGAAAAAATGCCAAAAAATTTTGGTGAATATTTTTCAAAAAAATCTAGAAAAGAGAGACAATATCAGACCATAATATATATATATATACACACGAATAAGAATTTGAGCCCATATGCATGTATAAAATTTTAAATCAATATACATATATATATATATATATATATATATATATATATATATATATATATTGATTTGAGCCCATATATATGTATATATGCATGGTGTTAGGGAGTCAATCAAAACTTGGGAAGTTTTATGGAAATATAGGTATATATATTGGGCCATATATATATATATATATATATATATATATATAATAAACGATCAAATATGATATCTAATTTGGGCCCATCAAAACATAGGAATTTGGGCCCCACACACACACTTCCCCTTACTAGAAGAGTAGATAGATTCATAATACAGCCGTAGCACCTGAAGATGATATATATCTAATCTTTACGCAACTAAATATAGATACTTTCTAGAAAATATCTTCTTAACTTGTAGAGGGGTTTTCCTAAATAAATAAATATATATATATATATATATATATATATATATAGTTAGGGTTTCTCGTATCTTCCAGTACTCTCTTTTTTACAGCCATTTGTCTTTGCAGTACGCTTTGAGTTCTACTATTCTCATGGATTCCAAAGTAGTATTCACCATTGTTCTTCTTGTAGTTGGTTTTCTTTCAATCATGCCGCTACCCGTTGCTGCCGATTATGGTATGAAGAGAGGCTATACAGCCATGTCAATGACAATTGCCATGACTCTACACACTTTGATCCCTGACGACGCTTTCTCCGCTCAGCCTCCTTTATCTCTCCGTTATCATGTCATACCAACAAATATTGATAGTCATGACATTCTGCAATCATCAGTTCTTCCTTTGGTATTCTTTCATGGGTGAAAGACCATATAGTGGAGATGCTAATGGGGTTCTCTTTTTGTTTCTTTTATTTTCAGTAACGTCAACACAATTCATGTTGATGGACTTTTGTACGTATTGGTATTTGTTTGATTGGAATACATCGATCAGTTCTTATTGTATATACAAGTTGTATTTAATAAATTTGATTTCAATTATAAACAATTAATTAATGAAATCAATTGGGTGAAGTCCTTGTTGTATAGTTCCTTTTAATATTTATAGTTCGTGTTGAGGATTTTTTTCTAATGTATATATTAGGGTTCACTTTTTGTTTCTACTTATTTCAGTAAGGTTAATGCAAATGAAATTAGGGTTCACTTTCTGTTTCTTTTATTTTAATTAGGGTTAAAGTAATTAATGTTTGTTTCACGTACTTTTGTATTTGTAATTTGAATTAGGGATGTCAATTTAATGCATTCGCTTCTCCGTTTCGCCCATATTGAGATAGATTTAGGATCATCTTAATAGGATTAGGGGTGGGTTTAGAAAAATAATTTAAAACCCGAAGCCCCAAGCTAGCTTGCCCCAATTAATTATAAAAATCTATAATTCTATTAACTATTGTTTTTCTCTCTCTTCATTTTTTATGATAATTTTAACTTTTAACAACTTCTTATTATTATGATTGATAAATATTTAACTATACTTAAATTTTTTTACAATGTTTATCTTAAATTTGTTCAAAACTTGAAATATTTTCTATACTGGGATGGGACAACTTTGAAAAAAAAAATTTATTTGTGGTCTACAAACATGTTGTGCATTCTACACCCTGCCTTCATCATGGAGGGATTTCATTACTTGGCAAGCCAAATTTGGAATGACAAGAGGGACCCTAGAAACATTGTTCGTAAAATTTGTCTTGCAGCATTAGTTTATCAAATTTGGATGGAGCGTAATCGTAGATACTTCAAGGACTCATCTCTCTATGTGAATGCTTTACTTAATTGTATTCTTGTTGCTATTAGACAAAAATTATCATGCTTCTCTGTGAAGGATTCTTGTACTGCCAGGCACGTTGTGGTAAAATGGGAGCTCCCAGGTTCATTCATTCGACCTCTACCCACATGCCTCCAAATTAACACAACGCTGGCATCCATTGGTTGACACTGCTACAGTCTTCAATGGTGGCCTTCAAAGCTAACTGGAATTTTTTTTTTTTTTTTTGAATGATAGCTGGAATGTTCAGATTTGATATTACCTCTGTTTTGTAATGCAGTTGTTTTTGGGCTACTTGCTCAATCTTGCTTTGGCAAGTTTTGGCCAATGGGTCTCTACAGTTTCCTTATATATATATATATATATATATATATATATATATATATATACATACACACACACTAAACTTACAAAAGTAACTTGGTAAAATTGGCGTACTCAATTTGAGAGCCTGACTATCGTTATATACAAGAGAAAAATTACAAATATGGAAAGAGAAGAAAATCAAATCAGAATAAAGAGAATAAAATCAAATCAGAATAAAGAGAATAAAATCAAATTAGAATAAAAATAAAATCCCTAAATATTAGCCTTTATTGAGACCCAATAAATCTGCCACAATCATTGAGTCAACTTATGGATATGATTTCCAACACTCCCCCTTAAGCTGGAGCAAATATGTTGACCAAGCCCAGCTTGACTATAGAAGACTGGAGAAGAAAAGGCCCAACAGACTTTGTGAACACATCTGCAGTCTGTTCTGAAGAGGGAACAAAAATAGGATTAATGATACCTGATCGAACCTTCTCTCAAATAAAGTGAATGTCTACCTCAATATGTTTCAACCTTTCATGTAGAACAGAATCGGAAGCAAGCATAATGACTGATTTATTGTCACAAAACAGCCTTGAAGAACCTTTCTCTACAAGACCCAACTCTCCCAAAATTGATTGAAGCCAAAGGAGCTCACAAGTACCTTGAGCCGTAGCTCGGTATTCAGCTTCAGCACATGATCTAGAGACAACAGTTTGTTTCTTACTCTTCCATGATATGAGATGATTACCATAGAAAGTACAGAAGTCAGAGGTAGGACGTCTATCTGTCTTACATCCAGCATAGTCTGCATCAGTAAAGCATGAGAGTCCAGATTGATTTCCTAAGGCATAGAATAGACCAAGACTAGGGCACGACTTAAGATACCTCAAAATATGGTAGACTGCATCCATATGAGTTGAGCGAGGGGCATGCATGAATTGACTAACCACACTAACAGCAAATGTCAAATCGGGCCTTGTGTTAGTCAAATAGATAAGACGACCTACTAAATGTTGATACACGGATGGATCTGAAAGTAATTCCCCTGACTCAACAGAGAGTTTGAGATTGGGCTCCATAGGAGTGGAAGCGGGTCGACACCCAAGCATGCCAGTATCTTGAAGAAGATCCAAAACATATTTCCTTTGAAATAAAGAAATTCCACGACGGGATCTAACAACCTCAATTCCAAGAAAATATCGAAGAGGACCTAAGTCCTTCATATCAAAGGACTTCTGAAGATGAAGTTTCGCCTGAGCAATCCCTGAAGCATCATCACCTGTGATAATGATATCATCCACATATACTAATAACATAATGCAACGACCATCAGAGCGATGTCAAATAAAGCAAGTATAGTCTGAGTGGCCGCGCACAAAGCCCATAGATAGAACAAAATGTCTAAAACGACTAGACCAAGCTCTAGGAGATTGTTTCAGGCTATAAAGAGACTTCTGCAGCCTACAAACTTTCCCAGCATACTCCCCTTCAGCCTGAAATCCAGAGGGTAGATCCATATATATAGTCTCAAGTAAGTCTCCATTAAGAAATGCATTCTTGACATCGAACTGATGCAGAGGCCAAGAATAGGCAGCAGACAAGGAGATAAGCAGTCACACAGACGTCAACTTTGCCACATGAGCAAAGGTAGAACTAAAGTCTTTGCCCGAAATCTGAGTAAAGGCTTTTGCCACCAACCAAGCCTTATACCAATCAATAGAACCATTGGCTAAGTACTTCACATTAAAGACCAATTTACAGCCAACTGTTTTCTCCCTAGCAGCTAAAGCAACAAGTTCCCATGTATTATTATGTTGTAAAACATCCATTTCTGTTGTCATGACAGACACCCAATTGGGATCCTAAAGGGCCTCTGACACGGATCGAGGAATAGAAACGGTTCCAATCTTGCCCAGGAAGGATTTATATGCACCTGAAAGACCATCATAGAAGACATACTGGGAAATAGGGTGGTTAGTGCTACTAGAAAAATCATACCAATTAGGAGGGTGACGATCACGGGTAGGATAACGGGAGGTATGCTCAGGAATGGTAGGAGCCATAGGAGAAGGAGAGTTACTTGGAACTGGTTCTGAAGATGATTCTAGCAGGGGAGGTTGAGTAGGATGGTGACAAGAATAGACCTGCAAAGGTGGAGGGGAACCCTGCATGGATGGAGAAGGAGATTCTAGGACAGTGTGACTTTCAAAGAGAGGAACAGGACTGGCAATAGGAGAAATCTCCTTCTCCAGATTAAAAGAGAGAGAATCCTGTACCATAGAATTAGTAGTATAAAAAGGAACAGTTTCACAAAATGTCACATCAAGAGAATGATACATATGTTTGGTCATAGGATCATAACAACGATAGTCCTTTGACATAGAAGAATACCCCAAGAAAATACACCTAATAGATTTATCATCAAGTTTATGACGAGAAGGATTACGGTTATGAACAAAACAAGTACAGCCGAAAACACGAGGCAAAAGGTGAAATAATGTATAATCAGGCTGGAGAATCTGAAGTGGGGCCTTACCACCCAAAACTCGACTGGGAGTACGATTAATTAGAAAAGTAGCTGTAAGAACAACCATGTGCCAATAGAATTTAGGCACATGCATACCACTCAGAAGACATCGAACCACAGACATAAGATGACAGTTTTTGCATTCAGCCACGCCATTTTGCTCAGGAGTGTAGGGGCAAGTGAGTTGATGTAAAATCCCCATTTTACTAAGTTCAGTCCGAAACTCATTCGAAACATATTATCGTTCATTATCAGAACGAATATTACGGACAACAGTGTTATACTGGGTTTTGATCATTTGAAGAAACTAGGTAAATAAAAGAATCACATCAGATTTCTTTTTCAATAAATAAACCTAAGTATAATGAGAATAATCATCAATAAATGTCACATAATATCGATATCCAGAGAAAGGAGTAACTGGGGAAGGCCCTAGACATCAGAATGAATAAGATCAAACATACTAGGAGCACGGCTCATAGAAGAAATATAGCTAGTTCTAGTATGTTTAGAAAGCTCACAAACATTGAAACTTATGGTCCTTACATGCTTTATTTAACGAAGAAAACAATAGACATAGATACTGAAAGTTTACATGCCCCAAACTTGCATGCCACAGACTAAAGGTGCGAAAAGAAACATCATAAACACTAGAAGTAGATAAGACAGAAGCTGGAAAACTCGTTCCTGGTGGTTCCCCAAAGTAGTATAGCCCATTACGCTCATAACCCCTACCAAAAATCCTCTTCGAATAAAGGTCCTGCAATAAACAGTGATATGGTAAGAATATAACTGCACATTGGAGGTTTTTTGCAAACTGGCTAACAAATAAAAGGTTAAAGGCAAGTTTAGGTACATGATGGACAGATGAAAGAGTAATATCAGGAGATAGACAAACATCACCCTTACTGTGAATGTAAGATGTAAAGCCATCTGTAAGATACACAGATTGGGTAACAGGTATGACATTAGAAGAAAGAACTGATAACTCACCAGTCATGTGATCATTGGCCCCAGAATCCAGAACCCAAGTAGGCTGCTTGGCCTTAACATGAAATGCAGTAGGAGTACCTATAATAATAATGGTAGTGAGAGCAGCTGAAGGAGCTCTAACTCAAGAAGCAAGAAAGCCAAGCTGGTCCTGGATCTGCCTAATCTGAGACTAAAGTTGGCTCAGTCCAGGAAATACAGTAAATCCACCAGTAGTAAAAGGAGTTTCTGCAACAACCGCAGTACGAGAAGAACTAGTTCCAGATAAACGGTTCCTAGAAAATTTTTGCTTCAGTTCAGGATGAAGTTTGAAGCAACGAGCCTTAACATGTCCAACCCCTCCACAATGGTGACAAATAATCTGACCTCCAGAAGCTCGTGATCCAAAGTTGGCTGTAAAAGCTATACTATCCCCAACAGGCTCAAACACTGGTAGAGGAACAAGTGAGGGCTGAATTAAACGGTGCCTGCGTGCTGCACCATCAACAGTAGCAAAGGCTTCCAACAGGGATGGCATTGGTGATGCATTCAAGATCTGAGACTTTAGTGGTTCAAATTCTGGGCGTAATCCCATCAAAAACTAATAGGTATGCTGACAATCAAGATGTTTGACAAGAAGAGAGGCTGCCTCGGAAGGAAATTCACTGAAAGGCTCATATTGAGCTAATTCCTGCCAGCGAGATCTCAAATACCCAAAATAATCAGCTACAGACAAATTCAGGCCTTCCTGTGAGGCCTTAGCAATATTTTGGTATAATTCAAAAATACGAGCATCATTCCTAAAATGAGCATACATTTGATTCAAAGCAGTCCATAAGTCATTAACAGAGTCATAAAATATGAATATATTATAAATGCGTTCCTCCATAGAATTAAACATCCATCCTAAAATGGTGCAATTGTCCATATCCCACTGAGCATATTTAGGATCTTTAATATCTGGCATCTTTTCAGTACCCAAAATCCACCCTGATTTGCCTTTTCCACCAACATAGAGGTGGAGGGAACGAGCCCAGGATGCAAAATTACTACCATTCAACAGCACACTAGTAACTCGTTGAGTAGGTTTGTGTTGCGCCGAAAAGAGAGTTTCTTTATTATTACTTGATTCAGCCATAATATTAAATAGAACAATTCAATAGATTACCAATAATTTCAAATAAAGGAGGAATAAACCTGATTTTGAGCAAACCAAAAAGCCGGAGACACGGCGGTCTGATTCGAAAATGCTGCCGAATATCCCGGCAGCCCCAAAAAATTACAAACACGTCTTTTAAACCTTAGTGCATGAAAAAGACTAAGGGAATACCCCTACAGGGATCGAACCTAGATGAGATTGACTCCCCCTAGGATTGTTGCAACAGTGGCCTGAAAAAGAGAGAGGGTCTGTGAAGAAAAAGAAAAAAAGTAATAGGGAAGAGGCTGTGACGAGATAGAGAGAGAGATTAAAAAGGGGTAATGAAAGAGAGAGAAATGGGGGAGGCGTAGGTTTGAGGCTCTGATACCAAAAAGTAACTTGGTAAAATTGGCGTACTCAATTTGAGAGCCTGACTATCATTATATACAAGAGGAAAATTACAAATATGGAAAGAAAATAAAATCAAATCAGAATAAAAATAAAATCCCTAAATATTAGCCTATATTGAGACCCAATAAATCTGCCACAATCATTGAGTCAACTTATGGATATGATTTCCAACACTTACTATTCAAAAAAAAAAAACCTCAGTTTTATTGGTTGGTAGATGTGCACTCATACACCTACTTGCACACACTTTTGCCCACAATCGGATTCCAACCCCACCCAACCATACATATAATTTATTGACGTTGCATGTATGCTGCAACAGTTCGGTGAAGTTGTAAATATTTTTTTTCCTTCAGTAAAGTTCCTTTTTTTTTTTTTTTTTTTTTTAAGGTAAATGGTAAGCTTTAATAAGTAAAAAGAATAATGTATAGGAGTCCAAGTAGGACAATACAAGTCCAGGCTAAAGACAACAAAGGTTGTCTCCTAAAGTAGTAAAGTAAAAGCAATCTAAGCCAAAAACTGATACAATCAATACAACATATATTAGAGAAATACCTATGCAACAAATTGTCAAGCTACCAAGTGCTTCTATTAGGTAATCTCAATAGGCTATAGTTCACTTCATCAATTCTAGTAGTAGTGTGGTATGTTGAAGGCTAAATCTTTATTGAACAAGTGAGGGATATCAGTAATGTTACAGCTGCTATCTTAGGAACCATGACTGTCCATTGGCATAAGAGCATCCTTGAATGAACAGCTGTTGGACTGCTTCAGGGGAGTTAATCTTCTTCAATTCTGCATTAGACTTTAATTTAAGAGATGTAAACCTTGCTCTTATACAGTCCTTGATGTGGTGGATGATGTGGTGGGCTGAAGATGATTTGTTCCTGAATGCTCTTTCATTTCTCTCATGCCATATGAAGTAAATGACACATGAGAAAAACAACTTGTGAGTGATGAAATGGTTCTGTCTCTAGGTTGTTGAGCACCATGAAATTAGGTCTGTCTAATTGGTTAGATTGATGTAGAAACCTGCAGCATGCTGAATGAAATTCTAAATGATACCACTATACTGACATTTGAAGAAAATGTGGTCCATTGATACCTCATCTGAAAGACATAAGTAACAAGCATTGGTGTAATGCTTCTTTAGCATTGGTTTAGTGTTGAGTGTTGCAAGTCTCTCTTTGAGTGCTAGCCATGCAATAAATCCATACTTTGGGTTATGATGTTTGAACCAAATGAGGTTATCCTAAGCGAAGACCAGTAAAGGGGCAGTGTAATACTCCATGGTGAGTCTGTGAGAGAAGTCATTTGTTGCACATGGAAACCATTCAACTTGATCATGGTTATTGGATGGTAAAGGGATAGTTTGAAGTTGAGAGGTGAACTCTTGATTAATGAAAAAAGGCAGGTGGTGTAGTGTGTTTGGGATTGACCACTGATAATTGAAAATTAGGCTATTAACTATGATTTGGGGATCCAGTTGAAGAATTTTCATATCAGTGATGCCAAGCTGTAGTGCAATGGGACCATTTGGAAACCAGTAATCATTCCATAAGCTTGTGGTACTCCCATCATTCACTATGTGCCTAACAAGCTCCCTTGCCATGCTTCTCAGTTTAAGCAATCTTCTCCATAGTCCTGAACTGGTATATGTAACCTTGGTAGTCCAAATGGATTTGGTTTTGATGAGGTATTTGTAGGTCCATGCCACCCAAACGCTTTCTTTTCTTGAGCACAATCTCCAGTTCCTTCTATAAGTTCCTTCCATATGCATGGTTCCTTTTAATACCTCGGTTTTATTGGTTGGTAGAAGTTGTAATACATGAAGAAAAAAAAATAATATATTTTTTTATCTTGACAAAAAACACACTCATACACACCTACTCAAACTACAACAAATTTGGTCTGTGGCAACAAAAGAGTTTATAGCTAAAAGTCCATATTTTGTCGCAAAAATATTATTGCGGCAAAAAAAATTTTGTCGCCGGCTCGTCGCTAAAAGCCAGTCACAATATGTTTTTCATAACAAATTTTGATTTGTCACTAGAGGTATGATATATTACTTTTCATCACAAAACGAGTAAAAATTACGACAAAACATTTGTCGTAAAATATTCAAAAATTGTCACCTTATACCCTCCGAGACTAATAAAATTTGTCACTATTCATCACTATTTTGTGACGAAAAGAATTTTTGTCACTATTTGTGTACTCTTTTGTGACAAAAATTGTCACTATAAGCTGCTTTATTGTGACAAAATGTTTGGTCGCAATAAAAGTACCATGTTGCGACAAAAATATTGTCCTTATAAGCTATTTTATTGTGACAAAAATCTTTTGTCACAATATATATTCTATATTGTGACAAAACTATTGTCACTATAAGCTATTTTATTGTGACAAAGTATTTTATCACAATAAATGGGCCAAATTGTGACAAAAGTATTGTCACTATAAGCTATTTTATTGTGACAAAATCTTTTGTCACAATAAATGTGCCAAATTGCGACAAAAGTATTGTCACTATAAGCTGTTTTATTGTGACAAAATCTTTTGTCACAATATATTTACCATGTTGCGACAAAATTATTATCACTATAAGCTATTTTTTTGTGACAAAATAACATGTCCTGCAACAAATACAATAATATAATTTTATTTTCACCTATTTGAAATATAAAATATAGAACCTGTAACTTAAATTAAAATATTAATAAACTAAACAATCTAAACTAAGATCCAAGCGTCTCACTCAAAATCAATATATCTGATAATCAATTATAGAATATAAAACACATTCCATTAAGAATTTAGATATTAAAATGTGCAAATCATCCAAAATCTAAAATGATAATTCAAGCACATATCAAAATGCTAATATCCAAATCCAATATTACACAATTAATCACATTCACATATCAAAATTTCAAAAAAAATCTAACATCTGAATCCAAAAGGGGAGCCAGATTGCAATCAATGTGAAACCTGCAAAATAAAATAAATAAGAAGAAAAAAAAATTGAGATTAGAATTTCAAGACTGAAATAAATTTTTTAGAGTATTTTAGAAAATTTGATATCTGGGTGAAAACAAGATATTCCTTTAGAATTAAGTAACTTGACTTTTCTTATTATATCAAGCAATTTACACACACACAAAACTTAGTATAATGTATTCAATTTGATAACATATAGACAAATGAAGTGTTGGACAACGAGACTTTATAATGTGTATAAGAAATTTTGGCTACCAAATTTATTGCTAATGCGTGTTCTGTGCAAAATAAACTGCTATGCAGCTCAATAATGCGGGAATTAGAGTTATTATAATCTGTGTTGGAGTTATTATGAAGCATTTAGAAACCTTATAGAAGAAGACGGAATAGTAAGATTGCAGCTTCCTGTTATCGAAAATTATCATATATCTATCCTATATATTGGCAATAAAATCTTGTGTTAAAAAATAAATAAAAAAAAATAAAAAAAAAAAAGAAGAAGAAGTAAATTCGACGGTATTTTTAGTAAACTTTTGCTACATTAATCGATGCAGCATAAGAGGATTCAAGTTTAAGGCAATAAATTCATGAATATAAATCAATCGAAGAAATCCAAAACGATACAGATGCAAATTACTAATTCAATCATGGACTCTTTGGCATAGAAGTTGGTTTATGTGGTCTAGAGTTCGAGGATTGGTGGTGAGAGAGCTGAGCAAAGAAGAAAAGGATGCAAATTTTCCAGAATTATGCAACAAATGCATTGTTGTCTAATTAATTGAACATTGATATATGACAATTCAATATTTTCTTAATACAAGCAATTAATTTATAATCAATTAATATACAGGCGATCTTATATGGCTATCACGTGTCATGAGTGAAGAGAAAAAATAATCCACAAAGTTAGAAGCTACTTAGCAGATCAAAACCCAAATCAGTTCCAATCAATTAGCTTAAGCATTGCATGATAAGAAAAAAAATTCTTTAAGTTAAGACAAGAAAAAAAGGATATTATAGATAAATCTCAACTCACCACTGATTAAACAAAACAGGCTATACTTGAACAACCAACACATGTGAGATTAATGTACGGTATGAAACTTAATGAATGATCAAGGTCCCACATTTTAATTACATGGCATCATATGGGTCCATTATATATACTAAAATTTTAATGGCAACTATACCTACTTCCATACTTGTCTCATTATTTTTCTCTCAAATGCATGAAATACCACCTCATTAATTGTGTAGACACCGCACCATTTTTTAAAAATATTTTTAAATATTCTTGTTTGTTTAAAAAAAAAAAATTGAGAAAAAAGAAAATAATTAAAATAAAGCAAAAAGAACCATATATGGCAACTATACCTACTTCCATGCTTGTCTCATTCTTTTTCTCTCTATCTCTGCACCTCTCCATTTCTCCCGTGATCCCACAGGTCAACCCTCTCTATCCCTCTTATTGTGTTGAAACTAACTACAGTTCAATACGACTATAAATTAAAACTTTTTACAAATTTTTGAATCTTACACTCATATTTTTCAATAGTTTAGTATTCTCGTGGATAATTGCCAACTAAAAGAATGTCAAGCCCAATTCTGGAACAAACTTTAACTAGTAACCAATAACTAAAAAGCAATGATCAAGGTGTCCAGTTTAAATAGTTTCAACTACCATAGTTATGTCTTAGGCCATAAATATGAACCATAAATTACATTAGGTAAGTGGTCCTAGAAATTTCTTTAGAATCTTTCAGTGAATTAAATTTGAAGCTATCTTAGAAAGACGAAAAAAAAATTATAGATGGTTGGTTCACTATAAGAAGCTGAACATAAACAAGGTAAACAAGAACATATGTGACATCTGAAAAATGTTACAAATGCCACAAGTGAAAACTCAAACTAACCTACCTCCTCTGGATGCACAATTGCATAATTATACTGCTCCCTTGTAGCTTCATCTTTCAAAATCTGCAAGGCATCAATTTAAGCAACTTAAAACAACACTCTTATTTAATAAGCTTTAGACTAAGGTAGTAAGAATCACCAAGGTTGAGTTTGAAATTGCATAATTAAGTCAATAAAATAAAAATAAGGAAGAAGAAGAAGAAGAAGAAGATAATATGCAGAGAGCAAAAGGTTCTCATTGTGTGTGTAAACAATTAGTGCACAACCCACTTGAAATTGTTATAGATTCAACGAACAATGCTAAGGAGAAAGAAAAATAATCAATTTTGATCTGGAAAATTCAAATCACAGAAATTGCTGAACTAAATCCAAAAGTGGTGTCAACTGAAAGTAATTAAAAGTGGCTCATACTTGAATTGTAAATGGTGTAGTCTCAAAACTAAAACTTTTTTTTTTTATTTATAAGCTGAAAGATCCAGTGGACATCGACTTCATATTAACAAATAAATTCATACAGTGCAGTTACTAATCATCCAGATGCGAAGCTTAAGAGCAACTGGTCTCAGATGTAGTCATTGTAATGAATCATGAAGTATTTTAACGCTAAAGATGCAGACAAACCTTATCTTCACTCTTAGATCTGTTGCAAAACAACCTTCATTTCTCACACAATGCTTTCTTTACAACACAAAAATATAGTGTGCTCCAGATTTCTTCTGTAATCCCACTTGATAGAGCCTGAAATGCTTGTTTTGCAGCCACACAGCGTGCTTCAAGAACTTCTGCATTACTATAGCCCAAACTGGACAGGAACACAACTCAGAATGAGCACTGCTCAGATTTTGATTTGCCATTGTTAGGCTCCATAGAGATTTTAAGGATTGGGTTGTGCTTTGTCCAAAACCAATTTGAGATTTTAGTCTCAGAACTAAAACTTGTTATAAAGTTGAACTAGAAGTGGTCCAAACTCGAAATAGAAAACTAAAATTAATCACAAACTGATTAGTATATTTACTGTAGTAATCCTCTCCACAAGAATGTTTCATTTTCTTCCTAATGTTTCATTTTCTTCCTAATTAATAAGAAATATTATATATATATATATATATATATATAATCTTCAAAGAAGAAAAGGAGCATCCAATAAGTTGATCAACAAATCATAGTTGGAATGGGGCTGGTTTGATATGCCTAGCCTTGACAAGTTGCTTACCATATTACTTCCAAATTAAATTGGTCTTCTAACTAGTTAATGACTTGTTGATCAACTAAACACCCATATTCACGAACCAGTCAAAGAACATCCAGAAATTGCAATATACAAAATACAAAAGTAGATAACACCACCTAAAAGAAGAAAAAAACCACCAACCCATATAAAGTCCACTTGAGGCCCAAAACCACATAAAAATTGACGAGCAGCAGCATAACACTAGCAGATACAATCCCGAATCAAGAGGCACAACAAGGAAATAGAAACAAGAACTACAACAATCCAGCTAAGAAATAGATAGATCAGGAGAAAGAATAAACCATAAAACCTGGAATAAATTGATAAAAAATTCAATTATAAAGAAAATATTAAACATGTTTCAATGGCTAAAAGAGAACAGTTTACAAAAGAAAATCAATTTATGCACATAAGTTATAATTTCAAAATTTTAGTTCTAATCTAAGAAGGTATAAATACGGAAGATTGAGAGCTTTTTAAAACTTATATCCAAAAATAAAAAATAAAAATAGGAATTAATGGTTTTATTGAAATTTAATAATACTTATTGGTCTTTTAAAGAAAAAAGTATGAATAATTGGTATTGGTCCCTGAAAGAATTCAAAAAGAAAGGTACCAGGATGTCCAAAAAACGTATAAAAGAGGAGTTCGACACTTGAACTTGGCATCCTAATCACGATTACAAGACTGATGTAAATAAAAGCACAAACAGCTAAAATACATTACCAAATACTTCACTTCACTTCAAGAATATATGGGAAAAGGGTATGGAGTTTAAAAAGGAGGCATGTAGTATCATACCTTTATAGGTTAAGTTTTTCAATATTCCTTATGAGTATTGGACTGCAAAGGGCCTTAAGTCGTATCACTAGTGCAGTAGGGAAACCATTATTTGCAGATGAACAAACTGCACCTTTAACTAGGATTAGTTATGCAAGGGTCTGTATTGAAGTGGATGCTGCCAAACCTCTTGTGGATAATTTTGAAAAAAGGTTGGAGAGTGGTAAACTCATCACCATTGATGCAGAATACCAATGGATGCCTCAAGTTTGTGAGGTATGTAAGTGTTTTGGGCATACAACCTCGAAATGTAAACCTCTCCTTGGCACCACAGGCCCTAAACTTCCTGAGGGCAACAATGTCACCTCTAGCTCTGAATGGAGGGTGGTCAAGAAGAACAATAAGGAGGGTCCAACCACACTGACTGAACATCATGCTCCCAATGATCTCAATACTACCACTAAAACTTGCTCAGAGTAGGCTCCTCCCCTCAATAATAATGTTAGGCACGAACCACCCTTGTTAACAAAAAACCAATTTGCCTCATTAAGCTCTGAAGCTGATCCTTCCACAACAGGCTGCTCTACTCCCGCACTGAAAATTCTCCTGCTAGCCATAACCATGACCAACAAACTGAAATTGAACCTTCCACAATAGGCTGCCCTATTCCTATTGTCCACACAATTGCTGAAGGTTGCCACCACCATGACTAAATAGGTGATATGCAGAGTGATGATGTTAGTTCCAGCACTATCAATACTGAAACTTCTCACACCTCTTCTGATACTACCATGTCCTCTGCAAGTCATGGTAGTAAAACAGGTAAAAGTGATGAAAGATGTATTTGACTGAACATCATGCTCCCAATGATCTCAATACTACCACTGAAACTTGCTCAGAGCAGGCTCCTCCCCTCAATAATAATGTTAGGCACGAACCACCCTTGTTAACAAAAAACCAATTTGCCTCATTAAGCTCTGAAGTTGATCCTTCCATAACAAGTTGCTCTACTCCCGCACTGAAAATTCTCCTGCTAGCCATAACCATGACCAACAAATTGAAATTGAACCTTCCACAATAGGCTGCCCTATTCCTATTGTCCACACAATTGCTGAAGGTTGCCACCACCATGACCAAATAGGTGATATGCAGAGTGATGATGTTAGTTCCAGCACTGGCAATGCTGAAACTTCTCACACCTCTTCTGATACTGCCATGTCCTCTGCAAGTCATGGTAGTAAAACAAGTAAAAGTGATGAAAGATGTATTGAGGATGATACAGGGAAGAAGAAGAAGAAGGGTGACATTACCCAAGAGATGCCCATTCTGGGCTTTCCAGGTCTTATTATCCAATCCACTCAATGATCAATACAGCAGCTTGGAATATCAGGGGTCTTAATTCCCCTGAAAAACAAAGAGAAATAAGGAAGCTTATTTATGAACATAAGCTCCAGCTAGTGGGAATTATGGAGAACAAGGTTCAAGAAGTCAATGTCAGCTCAGTTTTAAGGAATATTGCCCCTTCATGGCAGCTATTGCACAACTACAACCATGCCACTCTTGGAAGAATATGGATTATTTTTTACCAAAGATTCATTAAGGTCCAGAAGCTTAGTGATAGTGCCCAAGCTATCCATTGCTCTATCACCATAGACAATGACCTTACTAACTTTAATCTCTCTATTATTTATGCATTTAATAGTGCAGATTATAGAAGAAGTTTGTGGAATGACATCTGTCAATTTGCTGCAGCTAGTGTGCAGACCCCTTGGATCCTACTTGGGGACTTTAATGTCATTAGGCACCCTTCAGAATGCTTTGGAGGTTCTCAAAGATAGACTCCTGCCATTGATGAGTTTAACACTTGCATTTACACCTTTGAGCTTAGTGATCTGAGGTACTGTGGAACTCTTTTTACATGGACTAATAAAAGCCGAGGAGTTGCCAACATCTCAAAAAAGCTTGATAGAGTCTTGTCTAATGATAAATGGCTTACAACTTTTCTCCTTTCTGAAAGTGAGTTCTTGCCCCAAGGAATTTCTGATCACTCCCCAATGGTGGTTAAGTTTGGTAACCCAAATCCTAGAAGAAATATCCCTTTCAGGTTCTTTAATTTCCTTGGTGATCCCAGGGACTTCTTATCCACTACCAGGGCTGTATGGGAAGCTAATGTGAATGGTCACACTATGTTCCAAGTGACTAAAAAGCTCAAGCTTTTAAAGCAGCAGCTCAAAGTCTTGAATACTAAAGAGTTCAATGGGATTTCTTCTAGAGTTATTGAAGCTAGGGAGGCCCTTCACCATTGTCAAAAGACTCTTGACTCGTGTCCCTCTGATGAGCATCTAAGAAATAGAGAAAATGAGCTCCTTCAAGCTTATAATGTTGTGGCAGCTGCAGAGGAATCTTTCTTTAGACAAAAATCCAGAATTAACTGGTTAAAGGAAAGGGATGGCAACACTACTTTCTTTATGAAAGCTTTTAACAACAGATGCAACATGAAGAAGATTCTCAGCCTCCATTTAAATGATGAAACCACTACTAATGAACCTCAAGTAATCAAGGAGGAAGCTCTCAACTACTTTAAATCTATATTTGGTGGAGAAACAAGCAATCACTCAGGTATGAATGCTCTAAAATCTGTGTATCACAAGGCTATTCCTGATACTTTCATTGCTCAGCTCAATGTTATTCCTCCTAATGAAGAGATCATGAAGTGTTTTTTCTCCATCAAGAACAACAAATCTCCAGGGCCTGATGGGTATAATGCCTACTTTTATAAAAAGGCTTGGTCTGTCGTTGGTGAAGACACCACTAAGGTTGTTAAGGAGTTCTTTTCAACTGGTCATTTACTCAAGCAGATAAATGCTACCTATCTTGCTCTTATTCCTAAAGTGCAGAACCCCAATTGCATGAGAGACTTTAGACCCATTGCCTGTTGTAATACCATTTACAAAGTCATCTCCAAGCTTTTGGCAAACAAACTCAAACCAGTTCTTCCTTGTTTTGTGGAAAAATGCCAAACAGCCTTTATCAAGGATAGAAGACTTGAGGACAGTGTTCTCTTGGCTCAGGAATTGATGAAAGGGTATCATACTAGTTCCAACAGTCCTAGATGTACTCTGAAAGTTGATCTACAGAAGGCTTATGACATTGTGAATTGGACTTTCTTGCTGGACACTCTCCATATTCTCAAATTTTCAGCAAATTTTGTTAATTGGATTAGGGCTTGTATTAATTACATCTCCTGGTTTTTCAGTATCTATTAATGGTGAGCTTCATGGTTTCTTCAAGGGTACTAGAGGCCTGAGGCAAGGTGACCCTCTGTCACCCTTCCTCTATTACGCATCAGAACATTGCCAATGATCCTCTTTTCAGTTACTACTGGAAATGCAAGAAAACTAAATTCTTTCACCTTATGTTTGTTGATGACATCATGTTTTACTGTCATGGTGACATTCAATCCCTCTCTACCATAACTAAGTCTATTACTACCTTTTCAGAATTGTCTGGACTCTTCCCTAACCTATCTAAGAGCCTGCTGTTTACTGCCAATGTCCCTGAGGATATCCAACAGCTCATGACAAATTTGTGTGGTTTTAAAGTGGGAAACCTTCCTATTAGATATCTTGGTAAGCCCTTAAGCTCTAAAAGACTCAATGCTAATGACTGCAGAATTTTAGTTGAAAGGGTTACAGGTAAAATTATATGTTGGACTTCCAGATTCCTATCATATGCAGGAAGATTGCAGCTTATAAAATCTATCCTTGCTAATATTGTAATACCCCGTAATTAATTAAAGAGTTTAGTTTATTTAAATTCAATTATGTGTGGTTTCCTTTACCTATTATTGTGCATACTGCATTGTTATATTAAGTTCATTTAATGGTGCATGTAAATTAATTGTGTATGTTAAAATAGTAAATTTATTCATTTAATTGTGCATGTATTATTATAATTAATTTTATTTGTTGATTATGTTTAATTAAGCAATATTAGTTAATTAAAGTATTATATTTGTGTTATAAAGTATTATGATGTTATAATGTATTCTATTGTAAAATTATAATAATAATAATAATAATAATATAATAATAATAATAATATAATAATAATAATTATAAAAGTTTATTAATAATAATAATAGTTATAATAATAATAATAGTATTAAACCAATGTCATGATGAAGTTAGAGATTAGGATAGGATTTCATCAATGTTTATGGGTGGAATTGAAGCCATATGGTTGGGAAGATGGTTAGTAGATGAAAAAAATTAGATATTTGTAATATTTATATTATATATTTTGTATATAAATTAACTAGCTTACCATAGAAAAAAAAAAAAAAAGGGGGAGTTAGAAGCAAAGTATAAATTCTAGTGAGCTATTTGATAAGAGTGAAAGGAAAAGAGAAAGAGAAAGAAGCTTGGACCGGTGTAGGCGATTTTACCCGACTACGCGCAGACCGGCGGATTTATTTTAAATCCAAAAAGGCAAGTTATTATCTACTTTTCCCCTTTGAATCCATAAATTAATTGTTTAGATTATTTAAATAATTATAGAGCTTAGAGATCATGCTAGGAAATTATTAAATTAAATTTTTTTATTTATTAAAGAAAGGAATTTTAATTATTAAAGGTGGTCAACAATTATTTTATGGCCTATGTAATCAAAATATAGCTAAAAATAATTATTATGGCCTTTGGGATTTTTTTTAGAATTTTTAGGAATTTTTCGGGGCTTTTCTGCAATTTCCGGCGAGCCTCCGGCAAGGATTCCGGCCACCGGCAGTGAAGAAGATGACCAGAGTGATCCGGTGTGATGCGGCGTATGGTAGGTTAGTGCGCGCGTGCATCCTGGCCATTAGTAGAGTCTGATTGATCCGGTGCATCGCGGTCCATGCTACCGCGGTACACCCGGATCCATGAGCACAGGATTGAGTGATGAGAGGGTGAGATGATTCAGTGTAGCGCACCCATAGTAGGATGATGCAACCACCGAATCAGGAGCCGCCGCGTCAGCAAGTTACCATTAGTGCGCGCGTGGCAGCGCGTGCGCGCGCGTGGAACGCTCCAGACGTGCGTGGGAGCGCGTGCGGGCGCGTGGCTGATGCCAGACGCGCGTGGAGGCGCGTGGGAGAGTGGGGAAGGTTGGGCTGCGCGTGGGGAGGCTCTGGGAGGCTCGTGAGGGCGCGTGTGGGGTCTCTACAGCTACTGGAAATTACTAAAATACCCCTAGGGCCTGTTTTGTAAATTCCAGAACCTTAAACTTGGATTTTTAGGTACTGAGTTGGTATTTACGGGTTTAACGGGCCACGAAATTATTATTTTAACACCCGTTAATTATTCTTGTGGCCAATTAGTCTTTTCTAAGCATTTATTTGCTCGTTCACAGTACAGATACTAATGTGATTTATTTAACGACATTGTTAAATATAAATAGTGTTATTATCTTATTAAATGGTATCAACCATTACTGATAAATTAAATAAGGCCATGGTTGTAGTCAGATAAATTATCCATGATATCTTATGGGATGTTTATACTGTTAATTGATATATAAACCATGATCATTATGCTGTGTGCATTTCAGGAAATAAATGGACTGTTTAATTATGTCGCATTTATATTATATGGATGTGTTGCCATATAGAACCATATGAGCTGGCTAATAAGTTTAGACTCATTTATACCTTATGCATTCGTTGCGATAGACAGATGTGTGGCTGTCGGGGTATGTGGTTTAATATTATTGGCATGTGTTGCCTAATTGACATACTCGGTATATTTATTAATATTGTTGGCATGTGTTGCCTAATTGATATGCTCAGTATATTCATCAGTACTTTGAGCAGTGTTATCACGGTGTAGTTCGTTATAGTCTGTGTTGTCAGTACCGTGCACCATGTATAATAGCTGATTTCCCGGGTAGGGAAAGGCGACACTTGACCGCCTAGTGTGAGTCTAAGTGATCACCGTCTATTCTGGTTGAGGTCATGTTATACATTGGATAGTTCCCTTAGGATGTATACAGATATAGTACTCAACCGATTCATAATGATTAATTTATTTGATTCTCTGATTTGGGTCATAGTAGAGAGGACTTGCTCGTGGGGTTGACCCACCATTGTTGTTATTTCAGGATACGGTCAGTATCCGTTTCAAGGTTGAGGTTAGCAGTGTGGGACCACCATCCGAACTCATCTACTCTTACGACCCAGTGCAGGGTAGAAGTTTTATGTAATACTTCAGTTTCAGTTTTTATTTATTTTTGACGTTGAACTCTCAGGTTTATATTTAGGGATCCTTGACATAGGATTTCCAAGTTGTAATGAAGTACTGTATTAAATAAAGGATGGATAGATGTTGTATTATTTAGTGTTCCTTTCTTGTCTAAATTCTTTTATTATCATCATTTTGTATTCCATGCTTGTATATTGCCAATTATTTTTGATATCCCTCGTTTTTCGTGTATAAGCCTGATCAACTTATGCGTGGAAAATGTGGGGGTGTTACAGTTGGTATCAGAGCATTCCAGGTTCGAGTGTCTTAGGGATCTGTGATTACTATACTTCCGCGTTGTGTATTCTGATAATTAGAGCCTAAGTATTAGGGTTCTTTGTATTCTTTTAGTCGGTCCATTATAATGTACTGACGTTAGATTTTTCTGAATTTAAAGAAGGATGTCTTGGCGTGGGACAAGGAATGCGAACCAGCATCGCAGTATTTCCCCAACTCAAAATGAGAATCAGGAATTTTCCCCTCAAGTTGCAGATATCATTGCACGAGCTGTAGCAGCAGGAGTAGCATCTGCTCTACGAAACCAGCAACCTCCTCCGATAGTACCTGTTCCTGAACCAGTGGCACAGCCAATGTCATGGGACAAAGTTCGTCACTCGTTCATCCGGGGAAATCCACCGACATTTGCGGGGTCCACAGATGTCTTGTTAGCATATCAGTGGAAACAGGAGAGCGAGCGTCATCTTCGGATGGTAATCTGTACCGAAGTGCAGAAACAGATGCTAGCTACGTTTATGCTGATAGGCAATGCATTGCAGTGGTGGGAGTCTATTACTACTGTCGATGAGAGGACCAGATTGACGTATGCTGAATTTCAGACTCGCTTTGACGACAAGTATTTTCCTATGTCAGTAAGATCAGCGATGAAGACTGAATTTCTGGATCTGCAACAGGAAGATATGACTGTGGCTGAGTATGAACAGAAGTTCATAAATTTGTCATTATTTGCACCAGAGGAGGTCAATACGGAAGAAAAGAAGCGAGACCGCTTTGTGAAGGGGTTGATATGGCCGATTAAAGTGGTGATCATAGGTAGTCCTGCATATACTACTTATATCCAGGTGGTTAATGCCGCCTTACAGCATTGCCAGATAAGGAGTGATTACCGGAAGTCCAAGGGAGATAAGCGGGCTAACCGAGACTACCAGACAGTGGAGAAAGGAAGCAGCAGTGGTACCAAGTCCAATGATCGGGGCAGATTTCAAGGACATCAACCTTGGAAGAAAAACAAAGGAAACCCAGATGTGCAGAGGGATGGAGTCCCTAATCAGGGTAGACAAGGTGGGGTACCTCAGACCGGACAGGAACAGTGGTCGGGAAATCAACAAAGAAGGCAGGCAGGTCCTTTTACGGGACGTTGTTATCACTGTAGAGAGATTAGGCATCCGGCCAAGATGTGTCCCAAAGCTAAGCAGGGACAGTATGGGCAGCCGAGACCTAATCAGCTGTTACCTCTACCGGCCCCACCGATGCCACGTGGGCAAGTTCAGAATTTTCCGGCACTTCCAGCACCACCATTTCCTCCGGGACAACCTCCACAGCAGTTGCATCATGCCAGAGTTTATAACTTCATGCCACATAATGCGCAGGCTTCTCAGGCTATTGAGGGTATGTTTTCTATACATGGTAGAACTGCTCGTATACTGTTTGACACTGGTGCATCACATTCTTTTGTGTCTAGATCTTTTGTTATCTTATCTGGTATGACGACTCAGTTATGTGACCAACCTCTTAATATTTATACACCATTGGGAGTTGGCGCAATTTTACGAGAGTATAGCGGTGATATCCTTATAGATATGGGCCGACTTCGATTTCTTGCAAATTTGTTAGTGTTAGATATGCATTCGTATGATGTTATACTTGGGATGGACTGGTTATCTCAGTACCATGCTCAGGTTAATTGTTATGAAAAGTCTATTGTATTTGCTATACCAGGACAGGAGATGTATCTTCTTGTTGTACCACAATCTGATAGAGGGCCTAGCACTTATTTATTCGTTCTTGAGGAGGACTCACAGGAAGCGACTGCGGTATCTCTTGACAGTATCCCGGTAGTACAGGAATTCCAGGATGTATTCCAGGAAATTCCAGGCTTGCCACCGAGTCGAGAGATAGACTTCGTTATTGATTTAGCTCCAGGCACTACGCCTATTGCTAAGGCGCCGTACAGAATGGCACCAGTGGAGATGCGAGAGTTGAAGGATCAAATTCAGCAGTTGCTCAGCCAGGGATTTATTCGTAGGAGTACTTCACCATGGGGAGCACCAGTACTGTTTGTAAAGAAGAAGGATGGATCTCTTCGTCTTTGTATTGATTACAGAGAACTGAACAAGGTCACTGTTCGCAACAAGTACCCGTTGCCCAGAATTGATGACCTGTTTGATCAGTTGAAGGGAGCTACTTACTTCTCAAAGATCGATTTGAGGTCTGGTTATCATCAGCTACGAGTCA